TATATATATATATATATATATATATATATAAATTATCAGAAATGTGATGACGATATATTAATTTTATACATATTAGAGTCGTAATTTAATTTCGAGAATTATTAGAATGAATGTGCTAATTTAATCTTTCACGCGTTTGAGTAATTTTGATTAAAATTAAACTTGCAATTAATTGTTGCGGAATAGAAACACGACGAAAAATTCAACTGCGAACAGGCACAGATGGTGGAAACACAAAACGTAGAACTCTGGTAATTAATCTGGATAAAATTAATTGCTTTGCTGTTTTCGATTATGCAGGTTGTAACGCCGCAGAAGTGTGGGGACGTCTACCTGTACGACCTCCCAGCAAGTCGGGGAAGTCCCGCACCACCCTCCAGACACGAGTCACCCCTCAACTCGACGAACAATGAGCATTCGCACAATACGGGTACGTATTATTCGCAAACTAAACATTCCGCCTATAGCCAAATGGTGAAAATCGTCTGCTAATACTTATTCAATGACTCAGCTATTGATTAACTTCACGTCATTGTTAGTTTCTGAAATAGTTAATAGTCAGTCATTTTTTAAATTAGAGTCTGTTTAATTCCCACCGATGAGAGATTTAATCTCGATTTAACTTACTGTTTATCTTTTTCTGATTCTCAACATTTTCTCAACTTCGAATATTATTAGGAGTTTCAATATACAGAATAATTCAGAATTATAAATTTTCTTCTTTCATTTTTATAAATATACATAAAAATATATAATTGTGTTTATGTCTATTTTGCAAGCAAATCAAATTCATCATATACTTACATATATACGAAAAATAAATATTTTACGCTGGAATCATCTCATTTATCATCCACACGCCGCTCTTGCCAGCCTATCTCTTCTATAACATAACATAAATAAGCGTCCGTGTGAAATGGCTTTCCTGCCTGTTCAGTACTCAGAAGTTGATCCGAGGATTCCTTTAAATCTTGTTAACTTCTACCTGCGCAGGACGATATACGAGCAACAATGTGCGAAGTTCTGTCGACAATGGGGGCGGCGACGTGAACGAGTGTTACGACGTACCACCACGCGCGATCCCGGTGATCCCCTCGCCGGCGAGCAGCCCAAGTCCGGCTCCGTCGTGCTATGATATCCCAAGGCCGCCGACATCCTGCACACCCAACTCAAATTGCTCCGGCGGTTCCGGCATTACACCGCTGGATTGTTACGACGTGCCGCGACCGTTGCAGCCCCTCACACCCAGCAGCTCGGCCTCCAGCCTCACCAACGACGGCTCCCTCAGCGGATCGAACAGGTACATATACATCCGTTCGCATTTCCACGATGCGTCACGCTATTCGGGCTCAGGAAATTCCCCGGTTACAACATTATGGTAACTCCATTGAACGTACGTTCTTGGTGGTTCTTGGAGGTTCAGAAATCCCGAGAATCTCGAAACTTTACGCGTCCTAGAAGTTCCTCGCGTGAAATAAAATCAAGAGCTGAACAGAGTTTCAAGAATCCTACAAAGGATGATTTAAAGAGTATTGCGAATTGCGACTGAAATTCAAGATTGCGTCTCTCCTTCCACCACTAGGATTTTGGCAATGTCATCGGCCATAAATTTGAAAAGTTTCCAATCTAAAATTTTACTCCTCGTTTTCCCGCGTGCATAACGATTCCTGGATTCCAGATCGAGTTTAGCCGCTCCAGATTACGATGTACCGCGACCGCGTCTTCCAGCGTCCTCGTTGCCGTCCCGACACAATACCCCCATACCGAAGACCCCGACACCACCGCCACCATCGCAACAGATTTACGATGTACCAGTTAGCAAGGAGCTTCCATTGGAGTTGGACTCCGCTCTGGAAGGTTTGCAAAGGTTGCAGAGCGAGGCGTCCGCTGCGATAGCAAGGCTACTGGGCTTTGTGAGCCCCGGTTGGAGAACACCACAGCGATTGGATGCCACTCTTATGGACCTAAGGCTAGCTGCTCTCAGGCTTAGAACGTCTCTTCACGATCTCGCCGAATTCGCGGAAGGTAAGTAAATACAGAGTTCGATTTAACATCTTGATGATCTTAAATGCAATTGATGAAGCTGTCGAGAAAATTATTTTTGTTTTATTTTAATGAAATAAAATATTAAAATTCTATTTTGAACTCGACACGAATTGTATATAGATTGTTCAGAGTGGATTTAATATATTATTTCTTATATTTAGATTTGCAACTCTTTAAATTCACTGCACAACAATCTTATCTTTCGATAAAAACTGAAACACAGAATAGCTTTGTTGAAATTTGAAAGAGATTGTGTTCTGCGCGTAGGTACGCTGGGCAATGCAGGCAAAGCGCCAGATAAGGGCCTGGCCACGAAATTACGGCCACTAGTGAAGGCGCTTCGTGATTCTGACAAGCTCGTACAGGAAGCCGCTACTGAATTGGACACGATGGAATGGGACGCGAGTAAACTCTGTCGTGGAGGTGGTGATACACCGACACCTACTAACGGACCTCCATCCTCACTACTCCTACCTGTGCAGTCAGACCCTCTTGATCAGCTGATCGCGTGCGCTCGAGCACTCACGGAAGACGTTCGTCAGGTTGCTAGTTTCATTCAAGTAAGTGTCTTTTATAGCCGTAAGATTTAATATATTTGTTACAAATAACAATTTCCGATTTTACGGAAACGTGAGCAATCATAACAATATTCCTGAAGAGAAAAAGTCTTAAAATTTCTTTCATCTTTCAACTATACCATTTATATGTTTTATTGATATATTGTGTAATTATATTTTGAAAAAGAAAATAAACAATCCATTTTTTTAATTCCCGATTTTTTTTGCGAGAATTAAAATGGAAAAGATAAAAAAGTAAGAACCATTTAATATCTACTTGACCCGAACATATTTAGAATTTATATATATA